TATATAGAATGTTTAGTGTTAATAATAAATTTTTAATTAGGTAGTAAGTGGAAAAGCTTACACAAATAATCCTCCCCAAATGTGCTATTATGTGATAAATAAAAATAGAATATAGTTTATATAAAATAAACTATTGCTTTTTATAACTAATTTTGAGAGGTTTTTAATAGGGTTTCGTAGCGGATAGAGTAAAAAAAGTATATGGAAGACCAAAAAAAATTTTCTGGAAAAAACCATCAAGAGGAAAAAAATTTCTCTGAAAAATTACCGGATAATTTGAACCGGAAAAAAATAACCAAAAAAATTTTTTCTCTCAAAGATTTTAAAAAATGAGGTAAATTAGGTGGTAGACCCGCTAAATATGCTAATGATAAAGAGAGATGGCGGGCTTATCGGAGGAGGAAAGCTTTGGCTAGGATAGATAGTGGGGAAGTAGAAGGGATTTTGAATATGACTACGGGGAGGATTAATAGACGAAGAAGGTAATTTTTTTTGGGTTTGGATAGTAGCTTTTTTTTTATTCTCCTCCCTCTCCAAAACCAAGACTACCACTCCCTACCAGACTTAGATAATCTTTACACAGAATCGGAACTAAGCACCTCTTAGACCTTAGAAGTTTGCCCGGTTTTAGAAGGAATTTCCACAATTGATTCGAGCTCCCCTGCTTCACTCTCCGTTATAATTTTAGTGAGACTCCCAACATTACCAGCACCTATACTTCTATGCCGCAAATGCCCTTTTTGGGCTAAAGAAGCAGAATTTTCTTTTACTTCCTCGATTATTAATAAGGAACTACCTTGGAAATTATCTTCTTTCTCATTTAGTTTTAATTCCTCCATACGTTTGGTTATTTCATTCTCAATCTCTGATTCAGGAATTCCTTGGCGATATTTACTTATTACTCTCTGCAAAATTTCTAACAGATTTTTAACTTCTTCTGACTTACTTTTTCTTTCTTCTCACTCATTACCTCACTTTTTTCAGTTTTCTAACAAATGCCTCCTTCTACTAAATAATTTGCCAACCCGTTGCTTAATTCCGGATGACTCACCAGGACCGTCATTCAACAAAGAAAATTCCTTTAAGTTGCCATTATTATCTTTTTTTATTAACTCATTTCCTCTTTCCTTTAAAGCACTAATTAATTCACCTAGTTTGCCTAGAGAATCAACTGAGGAAATAGGTTCCATAACTCCTACTAATTCCTGATAACTATCATACAAGTTTTCCGTATCGCCAAGCAACTTATCTCATTTTTTCTTTCTCTCTTCTGAGTTAAATAATTTTTCTTTTCCATAAGAAGCTAAAAAATCTACATAAAGAGAAGTTACCGCAATGGTCCCTCCAACTTTTTTATAATAATTATCTTCAGTAGCTTCGCCAACTAAGTAAATGCTAGCACCAACTACAGAGATAGCTCGATTCAAGTATTGTAAAATAGTGTAAAAGTTTTCGATAACTGACAAATCTACCAACTCAATTACTTTTTTAGTATCTCATTTAGTGTGATAACTATTGATATCGCGGTGAATAACATATAGTCTTTCTAACGGGATAGCTTGGGCTAGTTGAATTTTAGTCATAATATAAATTTCTTTCTTAATTGATTATTTATTAAAAGTAGGCATTTCTGTTCAAACTTCTTGATAACTTTCATTTTCTAAATTTTCAAAAAATTTATTACTTTCTTCAATAGCTTGCAGTAAATAATCAGCCTTTTTTGTCACCGCATTAATGGTATTAATTTTTCTTTGTCGACAAATACCCAAGCCATAAACACACATAGTAGCAAAGTGCTCACAATTACTACTTATTAAACTATATTTGCCTTTTCCATATTTAGCATTGACAGCTATATCGATATGCCTTTTTATCAGCGTTTGCCTTTTAAAGGGAATAAACGGATGATTGACTTCTATTTCTGTTTCACCTTTTAAAAATATATCTAATTTATTAATTCTCGCTTGAGAAGTGGCTTTGCCTTCAGGATTATTGACATGAGCCACCTCCCCATTTCCTAAATAAACGGCAACATGCCGATAAATTCCTCCTCTCCTGCCTACCTTGATAATGTCATAAGGTTTAATATGGTCATCGAGGCTAATTCGAGGAAATAATTTTATTTTTCTTTTCTCTATATTTCCATAACTTTGGACTAGAAAAGGCAACTTAAACGTGTAAATGTTATTATAAACTTCCGCCGCTGGGTAATTGCTGTTCAATGCCGCTTTAAAATGTTCGACTATTTCCTCCCACTTTTCTTTAATGAGTGGCAATTTCGTAACTTTTAAATAATTAATTTTTTCTTCTGTTTTTCCAAACGCTGGTTCATAAGTAACTATTCATAAATTATAGGTAATCTTTTTTAACAAACCCTGACTTTTATTGATAATTATCGCACATATATCATTAAACCATGTAGGAAAGACTTCTAACTTTTCTATCCCCTTTATTTTTTGGCTAATCTTTTTGTGGATAAACTCTGCTTGGTTCTTTTGTTCCATGTGAATTCACAATCGCTTTTTCAACGTATCCAAATTATTAGTAATATCTAATTTGGTCATTTGTTTTTGCTCTTCTAGTAATAATAATTTCTCATTAAACTTTTTTTCTAATTCCACTTCCAAACTTATCATTTCTTCGCAGTTCTTTAAAATAATTTCCAACTCTTGTATTTGTTTTTTATTTAACTTATCAACTAATTCATAATAATAGGTATCGCGTTGCCTGCGGTATTGAATGACACCATCCACTTCTTGTCTGCTAACTTTGGTAAATTCTAACTGAGCCATGATTAATTTTTGAAGTAAATTTTTTTCTGGGGCAAACAGTGAATAAGCATCTACTATTTTTTCTTTTTGCTTCCTAATTAGACATTCTAACTCTTGAATTCTGAGAGCAAGCAGATCAACTTCTCTATTCTTTTCTTCTAGAAGCGATTTACTTACTTGTAATAGTGAAACCATGCTTTGCAAATTTCCTTCAAAGTCGCCGGTTTTGACATTAAAAAAGATATTCCCCAATACATCATAAACGTTCAAATTAGGATTAATTTTTTTTAATTCCTTTTCCAATCACTTAAAATAAGGCTGGGCTTCCTTTCAATATTGAAAGTCATAAAACGGAAGGGTATAATACCCAGAGCCAGAAGAATTTTTATTTGTTTTTATCAGGTCCGTCCAACTTAGTAATTTAAAATTACTGGTATCTTTTCTTGAAATTTCGGGAATATCCAGAGCAACTTCATTTAGACTATTTGGCAAAAATTCTAAGTCGCTGGTTAATTCATTATCAGCTACAGTCAAATTCTCTAATTGGTTCAATTTCCTTAACGATTGTAAACTTCCGTAAAAGCGATTGTTTGTTATATGAAAACTTGTTAAGTTCACAAAATTGTAGAAAATAGCTATATCTTCTGGAGGGAAATTGTTATTACTAATATGCAGTTTAGTCAATTTACTAGGAATTAATGAATTAAGAAAATCCAGACTTTCAAGTTGGTTATTTGCAACATATAATTCTCTAATCATTGGGCAATTTTTGATAGTTAAATCAGTAAATTTGTTTCTTGAAGCGTAAAGACAAGCAAGCTTAGGCAAGTTATTAAGGGTTAAACTGGTGAGTTGATTTCTTGAACAATTCAATTTTTCTAAATTGGGAAAATCTTCGATAACTAGGTCTCCTTCTAAACCTCTTCTACTAATATCTAATCAATCAACTTCCTTTCTCTTTTCTGACGGATATTCTTTTTCTAAGTACACCTGTGCATTTTTATTTTCTTTTTTTAAGTTTTCTCAATTAAGATTTTGACGGGGATTATAGCCCTTTCCTCTTAAATAAGCTGCGAAATGATAATCTTCGGCTCCTAAACCTGCTTCTAGCCATTCTTCAGTTTGCTGATGATTAAACCCCAACTCTTCTCATTCTTTTTGTCTCCAATCCTTATTGCGTTCTCTTTCAGCCCTAAGTTCAAGGAACGAAGCTAATTCTCCCCCTATCTTCTTTACTTGGCTTTCCGGTCTTTCCTTAGCAGAGTAATAAATTTCTCTTATACCATCGGAAAGATATTTAATCCCCTCATTTATATCAGTATTGCTAATATGAAGATACTTTAATTTAGTCAAATTCCTTAGATATTCTAAAGAACCAACAAAACGATTATAAATACCCTGCTGAATTTTTCCCTTTTCATTATTGCCAACCCGCAAACTTTGTAAATTAGCGAACTTACTAAAAATGGATAAATCACCCTCAACAAAGTTGTTATCACTTAAATGCAAAACAACTAATTTATCAGTATTTAAAGAAGAATAATCAAATTGATCCAAGTAGTTATCGCTACATTCAATTTCTGCTAACTTTTCCAAATTCGTTAAGCACAAACTAGTTAGCCTATTGTGAGAACAATCCAATCTTTCTAGGCTCACAAAATCACTTAAATCTAGATGACCTTCCAAGTTTTTATCACTTATGACTAACGTATTCAACCTTTCCCTTGTTTCTTTAGCATAATTCTTGTCCAATCACCCTTGGGCATTTATACACTTAATAACCGCAACTTTTTTTTGCTTATTTTTTATTTCTAATTCATTTTCATCTACATAATAAGACAAATATATCTTTTTTAGTTTTGTGAAGCCTTCCAGATTTAACTCGCCAATCAAGCCTTTTTCATTAATGTATATTTCTTCTATTAATTGTCTCCTTCTTTCTGAATAATTTTTATCAAGTCATTCTTGGGCATTAACCATATATGAATATTTTTTAGCGGTTTTACATAAAAAATGTTTGCCTGAGTAAAATAACGCTTGCATTATTTTTTCGATTTTCAACAAAATTTTTACGGTCAGGGCTAAGCAATGGTTTTCTAGAAGGTTCAGTTTTATTGTTACCTAGAAACGAAAAAGTATAAAATTATAATATTACAATGTGCAAATTAAATGTCCGCTTTTCTAGTAAAGTTAAATTACTGCGTAATTCAGTTAAAAACAAAAAGCGGAAAATAATTTCGCACGCAGTAATAATATACAATATAAATAATATAAATAGTAATAAATAATATGGCAATAGATATATTCAAATACAGAGATAAAATAATACAAGAAATTTACAAATTTGCTGAAACTGCCGGTGTAGAATCTATTGAAATTAATGAGGCAATTAAAGAAGCAAAAGAAGATGATGCTAATTTCAGAGAATTTGCGAAAGACAAGGATACATGACGCGATTTTATATATGGTAATGAAGATGTAAACTCTATTGATAATTTTAAAGAAATTTGTTTTAAAGTGATTAATAATTTGAGTAAGAAAAAACGTGAAAAAGAGTTAAACAAAAGCAAAGAAGATGTTAAATGATGAAAAGAGGAAAGCGATTATTGGCACGAAAGGAAGGAATGATGAAGAAAATATAATGCTGGTGAACTAGATTGACAAAAAGACCAAAGTAAAAGGACTGAGGAAAATAAGAAGAAATTAGAAGAATCAGAAAAAAACCGAGAAAACGATGAAAGGAAAGAAAATGAGCAGTGAAAGAAAAGGTTTATTGGGGATATTGAAATGGACCTGATTGAGAAAAATGTCACGGGCGAAAAATTAAGTGAAAGACTGAAAGTAAGTGATTGAAGAGAAAAAATTAACGGAGCGGCTGATTTTTATGAGGCTTTGTCTCGTCGCTCTAATTTGTGAAGCATAATTCGTAAATTACAAGATGAACAGGAAAAGAAGTTTACTTGTGCCAGTTGTGGCAAAGAAAAAGAAAAATATTACAACTGACCTACGGCAGAGGGCAAAAAATATTGTTCCGCTGAGTGCTGAAATAAAGGTGAAGGTAAAATAACTCATACGGAAATAATTTCGGTTTTTCTAGTGTCAGCGAATTCTTTGCGTGGATGAAAAAATTAGGGGTAAA